CCTCGCAGCTGCTGCAAATAGATCATCGTGGGTGAGCGGTACAGAATTAGCGACAACAGTGCTTTGTTCAGCGCACGCTTGGACCACTCACAGTGACTTGCCTTTGTTCATATCAAAGGCTTGGTACATGTTGCAAGAATGCCGCCGCATCTGCGCTAGCGTTGGCGCATCAACGCGCTGGCACATGGAGCCGGCGCAGGTGCCTTTGCAGTTTGTAGAGCTTGCCATAGCCGACCCACCAGACGTAGATTTGCCAGAAAAAGGGTCTGACGAAGAAGAAGAGGTTGAAAACAAGCCGGCCCAACTGCTGCAAGATTCTGAGGAGGAAGAAGAAGAGTGCTGGAATGGCGCCGTTCTGCGGACGACTGCGTCCACACATGATGATTATTTGCATCGTGGGCCGTTCCTTGCGGTTTTGCCTTTCCTTGTTTACGCTTCGCGGGTGCGGCGGGTTAGGAAACCAAAGTGTTCTTCTAGCCGCGCTGGCCATTTCTTGTACGATTGTCATTACCAGTTGGCCCACTTGTATTGTCAAGAGCTAAATTGGCATTTGGTTATCCCCAGGATTGTTGGGCCTTCGTTGCCGCCAGACAGCGCAGAACAAGCGGAAGATCACGCGGCCTACATGAGCATGCTCTTGCTGCCATTTCGCTGCCAAGGTTCAGGCTGCTGTTCCTCGCCCTCAATTTCCAAGCCGCAGTTAGCAAGCCTGCGCGCACGCAAAGATTTCAGTTCATGCCAGCTTGGAGGGCGCAGCGTGCGCGCATTCAGTTGCTTGCACGGCAGGCGCAAGAAAAAAACAACTTGTCCGAAAAAATCGCCGTGGTGCATGACACACGACTGCTAAAGCACTGGTGGGACCCAAGCCTTCCTCGAAACTCAAGTGACCCAGAAGCCAACCTGCTGCGTGCTACTTTGATGCAACTCATTTTGTCGAATTGTTCCGTTCCGCAAGATCTAGCTTACGATAAGTTGTGTTGCTACCTTGGTGTTCAAAGTGGCCACCACGCCGAACAGCTGTCTCTGGAAGAGTTTTCCGGGCTGCAGTCTGAGCAGCTTGCGCAAAACCTATTGCTCCAGCAGCTAGCTAAATCAAAGCCGCTCAGCAAAGCAGGGGCCAAAGACACGGATAATGCATCTTCGAGCAGTGGTGAGCACAGCGCGCGTGCAGACGAAGAGCAGCAGGTTCACCTTGCTGACAGTGATGTGTGTGATGAATTTTTCAGCGACTGCGAGCAACCTAGGCCCAAAGTGTTTTTCACGCTGACTGATTGTGTGAGTATTCTGCGCCGTGAGGATGAAACTGCGCGGGCAAAGCAACCCGGTAGGCATGCAGAGGCAGACATGCAAATGCAACAGTTCGCAGATACATTTGCCAGCGAACTGCTCGCGCCTGCAAGTGGCATCGAGCCAAGCAACGTGCGATTAGATTGGCAACGAGGCCAGTTTGCCAGCGCAGCTGATAAATTAAAAACGCACCAGCAATCTGTTGTTAAGCTTTTGAGAGCGGAAGAAGCACGCGAGCAAGACTTGTGTGCCGCGCATGCCCGTGAAAACTTGACCACAGAACTTGCTTTGAAGCAGCTTGAAGATATGCTTGCTCGCAACCGTGCTCGAGCCGAGCAGGGGATCACTGAAGTTGACGTGCCCTTAGCGTGGCAAGGGCCAGGCTGTTACGCGAGAAAGCTTATGGAAAATTTTCCCTTCAACGCCGAGCAAGTTCAAGTTGTGGCTTTGATGGTATGGCCGCTGGAACATGCCTGGCGCCAGCGCGCTGACAAAACAACCTATCAGTTGCCCAGCGACTTAGGCTGCGTTAGAGCATTGCTCGTGGGAGGGGGCGGATGTGGGAAGACGACGATAATTGTGAAAATTCTCAAGCCGCTTTTATCTGTTTACTTTAGCCAAGTGCAATTGGCAGCGCCCAGCAACAAAGCGGCCAGGCTACTTGGAGGCCGCACAATCCACAACTTGGTTGCGCTCAAGGCAACTGATTCCTTGAAAACCCATGCTTTAGCGCTTCGAAAGCACGCAGACCGGAAAAAGCTAGACGCCGTGCTGGGGCAAGCAGGAGCTTTAATACTAGATGAGTTTAGTCAATGTCAAAGCATGCTGCTTCATGGGTCCTCTCTTCGTGCGACATATTGTCGCAGTGACAGATATAATCTTGACATTGCCTCTTACGCGAGGCCTTCTCAGCTGTTCGGTCGAATATCCTTCTTGATTCTGGCGGGCGACCACCTGCAGTTGCCGCCTGTCCCCAACACCTCATCACTGCTGGCAAGCAGCCATGTCGGCAATGATGAGCACAGGGCTGCCCTGAGTATGTTTTCTAACATACCCGAAGTCTTTGTCATGCAGACAGCAATGAGGTTTACAGACAAGCGGCTAGAGTCGATTCTCAACAAAATGCGCACACCAGGCGGCGCTGCTTTGAGTGACGAGGAGTGGCAAGCACTTTGCGCCACAAGAGTGGAAGGCCACAAAGATTTTCAAGACCCAGCCGCCTTAGCCGCAGCAACCGAAGCTTGGTATCATTCAAGCTACTTGTGGACCATCACAGCTATGGCAGCCTTTTTGCGCGCAAGGTGTTCGTCAAAGAAACAAGGCAAAACGTTGTTTTACGTCCAGGCCGTGGACTTGCCCAGCAAAGTTTGCGAGCGCCAACATTTCCGCGAGATGTTGGCAGTGCCAAGCTTGCAAACTACGAAAAAACTACCAGGAATCAACCCCATGCACATCGGCCAAAGCATTCGTTTTACAATGGCAGTTATTTTGCCGTTTGTCATTCAAGACGTTGTGGGAACGATAGTGGAAATAGATTTCGCAGAAAAGGTGCCAGGCAATCTTGGAAGAGAGCACCTGCTTTCTCGACTCCCGACGGCTGTGTATGTGAAAATTGATGATTGTGACATAGAGTTTCTTCCGCCAAAGCCTTGCCAGGCACACATTGTGTATAACGAGAGCTGTCCTCACTGTGAATCTTATAAGGGAGTCGTGCAAATCTCGCCGCAGACCCAAACATGGACGTTTACTTCGAAGGACGGGTTTAGCACGCAGGTGCGGCGCACGGCCTATCCTTTCATGCCGGCCAAAGCGTGCCCTTTGTACACAATGCAAGGCACCACAGCCGAGCCAGGGCTTCTTGCGCATTTCACACTGCCGCGCCGAGCATCTGCCGAAATCAAATTTTTGACCGTGTACGTGTTGCTTTCTCGACCTCGCTCGCTGGCATGCTTGCTTACAGTTGGCCTCACGGAGTCCGTGCGCACCGTGATTGAGTCAGGTCCACCCCAGGCTTTGCTTGAAACGTTTGAGCGCCTTTTCGGTGAAAAGGCTGCCCGCACAAGGCAAGAAGCAGTGGCAGCTGTGGAATCTTTAGGCTGGGAAGACGCGTGCGGCACCGCGTGCTGACACGCCAAACTCAATAGGATGGAAAAAGCGCTGCGTCCTTTAGTCGGAAAAACACCGCAATTTGCGCAGGGTCACGTCTGGGCATGCCATGGTTGCAAGTGTGTGTCTTTGAATGCGCGTCGAACTTGTAATTTGTTGCAATGTCGAGCTTAGCAGGGCGCGTAGTAGGCTAGGCGACCATTTTTCTTTGACAGAGCGATGGCAAGCAGTGACCTGCCTTTGGATGAGCTCACCAGGGAATCAGCCCGGATGGGTTCCTTCCTGCTCGCAGTGAGCCACGTGCAGACGCTGTCCTACGAGTACATGTGGAATGGCCAGATGAAGCAGGGCAAGAAGCTTGTGGTGACGTTTGTCTCTCCCAGCCCAAGGTTGTATTGCCTCGGCAGCGCCAAGATGCAAAAGGGCAACGAGACGGAACTCAAGAAGCTTGAGGAGCAGTTTCAAATTGCTTCCACATGGAGGTTTTCCGAACTGCTATTTGCAGATGACAAGCCGCAGTACATCGCGGCTCCCATCAAGCTTGTTCTGGACCTTCGTCGCTCAAAAAAGGTGCGCGTGCTGGACGCCAAGGACTTCAAGCAGCATGTGCCTGAGCCAGCGACCACAATCGCAGAGGTTGTGGGCCTGCACACTGCTGCCCGCATCGATGTCATTGGCTTATGCAGTGAGATGAGCGAACCGCGGCACCAGGACACAAAGCTGGGTCCCCGCTGCATCATCGAC